TACTGACTCTTCTGTGCCGATTGATAGACCAACAAAATCACCGATTGGGTCAATCCCGCCGACAAGTCCGGCGAATTCAAGCGTCAAACATCGGCGTTCCGCAACTTCATTTCCAACAAGCCCGGCGCTGAATTTCCCCCCGAGAAGGGCCGCTATCACCTTTACGTCTCATACGCTTGTCCCTGGGGTGAGTTCTCGATTAGTCTTTACCAGCCATACACCAAATACTAACCGTGATTTTTCTGTCTTCCACAGCCCACCGCACCTTGATCACCCGCAAGCTCAAGGGCCTCGAGGACATCATCTCCTTCACTTCCGTGCACTGGCACCTGGGCGAGAAAGGTTTGACTTCCTTGCTTTCCCAGCACACCCGCACTACAGTCCGATAAATACTCACGCCCGGAATCACAATAGGATGGCGCTTCGCCACCGCGGAGGAGCAAGACCCCTCGCAGAACGTCACCTCCGACCCCAACCACCCGGAATTCACGCACCTGCGCGAGATCTACTTCGCCGAAGACCCCGACTACAGCGCGCGCTTCACCGTTCCCGTCCTGTATGACAAGAAGACCAAGCGCATCGTAAGCAACGAGGTACGTGTCCCTTTTCTTCCCCCCCTCTCCCCCTCAAACGACACCCCCCAACCCCCAAATCTAACGAACCCAAAACAGAGCGCCGAAATCATCCGCATGCTCTACCACGAATTCGACCCCCTCCTCCCCGAGCACCACCGCACCATCGACCCCTACCCGACGGACCTCCAAACCGAGATCGACACTTCCAACGACTGGATCTACAACGATGTCAACAACGGCGTCTACAAGTCCGGCTTCGCCACGACCCAGGAAGCCTACGAGAAAGCCGTGACGCAGCTCTTCGCCTCGCTGGACCGGATCGAGAAGCATCTCGCCGAAAACACCAAGAGGGGGCCGTACTTCTTCGGCGACCGCCTCACCGAGGCCGACATCCGGCTGTTCACGACCATCGTGCGGTTCGACCCCGTCTACGTGCAGCACTTCAAGTGCAATATCCGCGACATCCGGTCGGGGTACCCGGCCATCCACCGGTGGTTGCGCACGCTGTACTGGGAGGTGCCCGCGTTCCGTGACACCACTAACTTCGAGCATATCAAGAAGCACTATACCAAGAGTCATAAGCAGATCAACCCCTTCGGGATCACGCCCGTGGGGCCGGTGCCGGATGTGTTGCCGTTGGAGGAGGAGGTGCGGGCCGTTGTTTAGGTCTTGCTGAAAATGGTCGGCGGCGGGATTGGGCGGTATTGTTGTTTGTATCGCATTGATACAGCTGATACGAAGGATGAGTACCTAATAACTTTAGAACAAATTTATGAACTATACTCAATGAGTTAAGTGTGCTGTACCTTTCTATCATCATCCCCATTATTTTTCAGAAGGGGGAAAAAGTTTTTACATACAAAGTGGACAAATGACCAATAAGAAAAAAAGCTTGAAGGCTAGCATGGACATCCAATATCTCTCCCTGCAAACATTATCAGGAGAAAATTCCCCATTATACAAAGCTGGAGGGCTAGGGGAGCAGGAAAAAAGAAAAAGATTCGGAACTGAAAAAAAACTCCGTGACATGCTCTACCGCTCAACACCTTCCATGCTTAGGGAAAGGTCGGGCATGCGACTCTTCCAAACAATTGGGTCATCCAATCTGCAATATGGCATTTGCGATTGCCATATGCGAATGACATAAAATCAAAACAGTAAAGCCTTCGGGGGTTTCGGGACGGGAGACTGCGGGAAGAGAAAGAGACACCCTCGTCTATGCATAGCTAGGGGTCTCGACGATCGCGCATTCCCACCCCCCGAACAGAGCGAACAACGGTGGCCGGTCGGGCCACTGGCTTTTCTAGGGTATCTCGGAAAATGAATTCTAAAAATAATCGAGGAAGGTAAAACGACACGCGGTGGGCGGCCTAAAAAGGGAGGGCGAAGGGCGAAGGGCGATATAACTCGTGCTTCGCTTCGAGGCCCTTACCTCAACCCCAGAGCTCGCTTGGCATTCTCGTAGACGACGTAACTGATCGAAACTGCAGGTGCAACTTTGAGAAGGTTAGGCGTGAGTCCCTTGTACAGGCCACGGAAACCTTCTGCTTGAATGGTCTTGCGAGCGACATCGAAGATGCCAGTATATGTGGTGGGATGGAGAATAGTGCCTTGAGCCTGTAATCTTGTTCGAAGCACGTTTAGAGGGTAGACCATGGAGGCACTGAAGCCTCCACTCGTGGCGCCGATCGCTCCGGTGGTGAAATTGTTTAGTGGGACATCGTCCTCATGGCAATTGTGAAGACGTGCCTTGCGTGCTATAAGGGCCCGCTTCATGTACTCGAATGTCGTCAAATCTATGGCAGCATAGGGAAACATTCCCACGAGGCCCAGCGGCAGGCCACGGAAAAAGCCGAAGATTCCATGCTTGTTCCAGACCTTCTTGGCCGTGGCTGCAATGAGCTGGTTGCCTCGCGGACCACCTTCAACAGTTGAACATTGCATCCGACTAGGGACGGTATTAGCCACAAAAACGTCCAATCACACGGAATCAGAGTGAGCACCTACAATTTGAGTGTATCGAGAGGGTAGACGAAGCACCTGTAACGTTGTTAGATATCGAACGTATAGTTAAATTTGTGGTGCAGCATACTGTGCAACCATTCCACCACAGCCTCCGGACAAGAATTGGGAAGTTGGTTTAAGTTGCTTCGTATCATTGTGGCCCTCAAGGCGGGCAAAAGCGCGTTTAGCCGACTGCATTTGTGTTAGCATCGTCAGCCAACGACTCGCCCGGGAAGGACGCATTCACCTCGTAGGCGCCAAATTTAATGGCTGACTCGGGCATGACCTTGACTACATTCAAGCCGTTGCCTTGGACAGTTAGCATTGCTTCGGAACACGGGGGCGTGTCCGAATCATACCTGCGAACAAACTCCGAAGACCTCCCGCACGCCATAGTTCTTTGACAGCCTCGGCAAGTGTTTTGGATGCTTTCCCCGCTGCACGTATCGGAGCCCCATCCTTGGCCGCCTGCACTGCGGACTGCTTCACACCAGTCTGAGCAATAAGGTAGACTTTGAGTCGATCAAGAGGAGCAGTGGCTGTCCGTGACACGGCTCCTGCAATTCCGCCCGCGAGAAAATAGCCTAATTGAGGAGTGTTCTCGGTTAACTTCTTTTCATAATATCGAAAGGACATCCACATGGCGACGGTCCTGGGTATGGGCAGCCACTCCAGCTCCAAATCGGCATCTGAGGGTACGGAAGCAGTCTCGAATGCGAATCCGGGCTCTGGTACTCCGCCGATTTCCGCATAGACTGAGGGGAGAAAGCTGGTCAAGAGATGCACTGGGGAGATATGGTGCAAGAGGTTTTTGATGGCCAAGATATAACATCTAAGAAACGAGAGGTCTGTACCTAAACCCTGCAGGTCATTGATGTGGACATCTCCTTCCGGGTTTAGATTGCCCGTGGCCGTGTAGTATGACAAAACGGAGCGTAGGTTGGAGGACGAGTAGGCGGGTAGGAAGAGCAGGAAATCCCTAAATCACAGGCCATCATTAGCTGCAAGCCCCCGGAGCTTTCTTCAGCTGACCGCCATTAAGTAGGCATACCTCCACTCCGCATAAGAGATGACGCCATCCTTGTTCCTGTCGACCTCCGCAAAGAATTCTTCCAACTTGGCGTTCGAGACCGTTACCCCGGATCTCGCGAAGGCTGTTTTGAGCTCATTCTTATCGATTTCTCCGTTGTGGTTGTGGTCGATGCTCTCGAATAGCTGCCACAATCCGAGCTCAGTGTGGTCGACAAATGCGCGGAACTCTGATGATAATTAGGTTGGAAAAATGCCGGGCGGTTCAAGCCAGTTGCCCGGAGAGAGACAAATAGACCGTTGGGAAAGCATGCGCGTGATCTTACCAGGATAATCTATAAAGCCATCTCCGTTGGTATCGACCGCCTTCATGATACTGCGCAGCATGCTGTCCGCATTCTTGAGAGCTGTGGTTTTGACGTACGGAGGTTGGTCACCTGCAGCAGAAGCACGGGATCGGGTCATAGGTAGGTGAAGCTTACGGTGATCAATCTTTTTAAACCCCTTTTTCAGACCATGAAAATCAAGATGACCTTCTCCTTTGGTGTCCAGGCGCTTCCATAGTCGGGCGACTCGCTGGTCACGATCCGATTTTGACTCGCCGTTATCCATGTTCGGTTATTCGAGAGATTATCGGAACTCCGTCATTATTTTTCAAGGAGGGGTCACGGGGGCTAGTGATGTAAATTCGGAGCCCTGTCGCAACAGGGAAGAAAGAGATTTAGACGATGATTCTAGCATCGAAGTCGCAAAGGCTAGATGTGGGGTAGAGCGGAGATTTGAAAGGGTGGTGGGCTTATAAAGAGGAAGATAAAGTGACAAACATTGTTGTGGTCGATGGTTCTTGTTTTCTGCGCAGGAGCCGATCGATAGCCGTGAGAAATCGAGCCGCGATGATTTGCTTTTCACTTCCTCTCACACTCTGCTTGGGTTTACCGCGACAAGGCCGGAAGAAAACTAGACCCCGGCCCGGTCTCTCACGGGACTAAAGGGGGAAGGAGGGGGGGGAAGAAGTTAGCTTCTAACCGGTTTGGGAAGCGTTTCTCTCCGATGGTCACCTGCCAGATGAACTACTAATCATTCTCATCGCGACTGTTCCGCCTTATTCACATACTATTTGCAAAGTCACTCTTTTTATACTCACATTCAATGAATCGAAACACTTGAGGTCTGCACAAGGCAAAGGACTTGCGAGTCTATTCTCATAAGCTGCCCAACTCGGCGGTAGACCAACCTAGACGGGGTCCCGAAAACCCCCCAACCGCGCACGATCCATTGATACACCCGTACATAGTTCCTGCCGAGAATGCCCCATCGGTGACAGCACTAGATATTTGACCTCAACTTTGGCATATCGAACACTGAGGCCAATTATCCCATTCCCTTGTCACCATGGCCGCCAATTACTGGGCATCGACCCAACGACGACACTGGCTGTTTACGCGTGAGAAGCTGGCGGAGATCCGCGAAAGCTTCAAGGAGAAAGACAAAGTCGCTCATTCGCAGTTTCCTTTGCCGGATCAAAGGTTACTTAATATTTATTTCAGCCAGCGTAAGGCCCTCGACCATCGGGTTTGTTAGCAGTACTTCAACTAAACATTCGCACAGAATTGATCAAGCTTGGCAAGAGAATGTCCACGCGACAGCAAGCGCTAGCAACAGCGCAAGTATACGTCAAACGCTTCTATACTAAAAATGAGATCAGGCACACGAATCCCTACCTGGTCGTGACCACTGCGTTCTACCTCGCTTGTAAAATGGAGGAGTGCCCTCAACATATTCGCTTTGTTGTCGGAGAAGCGCGGGGCCTCTGGCCAGGTCCGAATCATCACCTATTTACTCACGATTGTCACTCGCTGATGCTTGCGCAGAATTCATTGCCCCAGATGTATCAAAGCTGGGCGAGTGCGAATTTTCTCTCATCTCCGAGATGAGCTCGCAGCTCATCGTCCATCACCCCTATCGAACTTTATCCGAACTCCAGCCGGAGCTATCGCTTACGTCGGACGAGGTAGCACTTGCATGGTCTGTGATCAACGACCACTATCTAACCGACTTGCCACTTTTGTACCCACCGCATGTCATCGCCGTCATGGCGATCATTGTTGCCGTCGTCTTCAAGCCAAGCCAGACCAGTTTTCATGGTTCGGCCGCACCATTGGCTGGAGCGATGCGAGATGGGGGCTTGAACATCCTGGCGGCTCTGAGTGATAAAAACGGCAGTGGTCCTCCGGCGCGGATTCAGAGGCTAGTCGCATGGCTAGCTGAGAGTGAGATCGACATCAAAGCAGTCATCGAGTGCACGCAAGAGCTCGTCTCGCTTTACGAAATATGGGAGCAGTACAGTGAAAAGCACTGCAAGGAACTGCTGGGTCGCATGGTCAAAACCAAGAATCTTGACAAGTGAGGTTGGGCTTGACTTGGACGATGTATTTGTACCCCGCAATGAAAACAACTCTTAAGCCTCGTCTGTGCAACGTTCTCGAGACGGCAGGCTTGTCACACCTTGCATCATAGCCATGGAAGCAGAAGCGATCGCTCTAGGTAATTTTGACCTGATTGCCGCACTGTCGGGCGAATGGTAAGGCTTGAAGCTATCGGACCATCGAAATACATAATGGCTTGGGATATTCTGCATTTGGTGTTGTAATACACGGGCTCCCTTGACAGCCCAGTGGCATCGATGTTACAGTATCAGGATTGAAAGTTCCGCCACTGACGGGGCGAGGCGGGCTCATCCGATTCGGGCTCGATCAGCATGTCGTTGTCACATCCATCAAGCAACATTTGACTAGCGAAGAAGCGGTTGATGTCTGGGTGCAAAATCGGGTCCATCAGCGCAAACCAGTTGACATCCCTACTCAACATACACAACAAACAATATCTACGAATCCCCACTTGATAGCTCCCAGATTCCTGATTTCATCACGCCAGCCTCCCCGCGTCTCTCAAAGAAACGACTGCACTTACCCGAAAGACGCAGCTAAAGTCGCATCTGCACCGAACCCAAAGTAGAACTGCAGCTTGAGGGGACCAACAAGCCACGGTAAATCAACCGCTAACTTGTTTTCTGCAGGCTGTCGGGGCATCTTCTTACTCCCCTGTACTTAGGATGAGAAAGGGGGTTCCGCACGGTGTGAAGATTAGCCATGCTTCAGAGGGGTTGTTGCCTCGGGGCTGGGCGTCTCTGCGCCTGGGATTAGAAAGAGTGGTTTGCTATGGAACTAGGGACTGAAGCGGAAGCTCTTTCTGACTGATATTCAACATCATTCGCGTCTTCCAGGTATTGATGTTGAACACTGTATTCGATTTAGTGGTGCTTTGTTGATGCTGCTTTTAGAAATAGACTGTTTAAGAGATATAGAGATAGGGTATATTCCGGATGGTAGGGGTGGCGATGCATGGGCTATATCCCCCTCCCTGCTTGAGAATTTCCTATTTACCTGTGAATCACGACTCCTCGACAGAATTGACGAGATTGGTCAATTGTATAGTCTCAAAAGAAGAGGCTCTGGTCAAAGAAACTGCATACCAGGATACACCTGCTTCCATCCATGCTAGAGGCAAGCCATGTCCAGCATAGTGTTGGTACCGGGGTAAACCCAGCCAATCAATCCAACAAAGACGAAGAACCGATCGGGGAACAACAGCCTTCAATAATCCATGATCCACGGACAAAGAATCCCCGATCTGTCGGTCCCAGAAAAGCTGCATCCATTCTTTCCCACATACCCGGGATCCTGGGTTTGTAATGGAAGCGATCAATGGAAGTGCTAGATAGTGCATTTCGAATCTATATGTACAATTGCACCATCGATCTAGACCGTCGAGCCCTATGGTCCGCAAAAATGGCCCGCCACACTATAACCACAATAAAGTAATTCGCCTCTTCTGCTGCTGCTGCTGCTGCTGCTGCTGCTGCTGCTGCTGCTGCTGCTCCTACTGCGGCAAATGCTTGTGAGTACGTACCTGCTTTAGTCCAGGCTCCTAATAGGAAGAAGAACCCTGTGGACGAAACCCCGCTCGCACATAAGCAAGTATGAGCATTACAGGCTAAGCACGGTTCACACGAAGCGTCTACATCTTAGTCTACTGTAAGAACATGTGCACTATACATAACATTGAATTACAGGCTAGCCTAAGAGCAAGTATAATCCAACAAAAGGCCGGCAGATATCGATCAATCAAAGAGATGCGAGGGTGGGTAAGGGTTAGGGGTTGCAACTCTTCGTTAACGAAAGCAGCCGGCATTGTGAGCGCTTACTGAGACGACAGCAGCCAGTCCGTCGCAGGTGGGTAGATCGTGTATGTCTCATATCCCTTGCCTCCAAAGGTATGTAGGCTGATGTATGTGTTGAGTATCGCAAGAAAAAAGCTTCTCTTCCCCGCGCCTACGCACTCCGAGTCCTGGAATTGAAAAATCGCCTGGCCTGGCCTAACCTGAACTGACCTGACCTGACCACAGAGTTTGCGATTCGATAGATAAGATAAATCGAGCAGAGCTCTCTCGCTCTCGTCTGCAGTAGATCGATTGAGGATGGGCTGTGTATCGCTGCTGCGTTGAGTCAGGGTGGCGAAGTACGTAGATAGTCATGTTTTGATCGGATACAGTACTTCCATGAGCCCTCTATGAGACTCCTCTGATGGTGAGCATGGCCAGATACAATGCATTCTTCTCTCTTGTGATGACATCCGGGTCAATCCCTGGGGTAAGGAAACTTTATTTCCAAAGCTAAGATGGATGTGGCTGCTTTTGCCCCCTTTCAAGCGTGGGGAGATTCGAGGGGATCGGGATCTCTCTTGCACAAGGTTGCAAGCGTCCGTATTGTGGCGATACGGTCTGACAATACTCGATACCAGTGGTGACGGATTGTGGAGATACTGCTAAGTAACATTACTGGACTAGCTAAGTTACGTAGTGAGTAAGTTAGTAGTGAGCCTTTCCCACCCCCAAAGAGATCCATATTGTTCCATGATGCATCTCTCCAGAGTCAACTCCGTACTCCGGAATCAACCCGCCCCCCCCCCGCCTCCTGACGATTGCATAATCATTATCATCATCAATACTAATCTATCATGAGATCATTACAAACAATATCAGCACACAATTTTGCCTCCCAGTGTCCCAAAACGGCCAACTCCAATTGATCTCTCATGATGGAATGAGGTAGACCATTCCGTCCCTTCGCTAGAAACCATTACGGAAAAGGGCGGTGAAACAACTGGTTCCCTCCTCCAGACTTCAGAGGTGGGTGAGAGGGAGCATCAGAAAACCATGCTGAGTACAACAAATACTCAGTGGAAGAACTTAATACTATGCACGCGGGCCAGGTTTACCCCAATCGCTTTCCGACACCAATAGCTATATTCTAACGCTGCCTAAAAACGCGTGTTCTCTTCCCTGCAGGGCACAGTTCCAGCAGGCTAGGCCGCCAGGGCCACCATTCCCATCCCATCCCCATCCTCCAGGAGCAAATGTCCAGGCATGGCCGCACCACCCGACAACCTGCAGTAGGCTGAAGGCCCATGGGGCCATGCGGCATGAGCAGAGAGGAGCTGGTGAGCTTGCCCGCCTATCAGCTTGCATCTTACCGTCCCATTTGTTTGCTGCCCATGGAGCCGGGCGCTGCAGTAGCCGCCTTCGGTTCCATTCAGTCTCGTTTGTAGGTGTGTATGGACTGGACTGTACGAGGTACTCAAGTATGAAGCCAACAACCACTCTGAAGAGGGCCGGCTCCCTTCTGGAAGTCTAAATGCTATGGGGTCAATGGCCCGGGGTCCGGATCGAATTTGAACAGGCATTGGAACAGATGGCATCTTCCTTCAGCTGGATTTGTTGGGGGGAGATGCTATTCATAGATAGGGGTGCATTATCCGTAATACCTGTCCAACATGGGCTGGAAAGGGGGTTTGTTTGTGTACTCCATACCTGTGCCTGTGTATGCGTCTGTGCAGCAAAGCCATACTGTGGCTGTAGCGTTGCCCCCATGTGGACGGAAATAGAGCAGTATTTTAGCAGCTTGGAGCTGCAACCAACCCCGATTCGAGATCTTACATGAGTAGATCTTGACGAATTGATGACAATTGAGCAAGTAAGTTAGCCATCAACAAGTATTATGGTTGGATATTAGGTGGTTTGTACCCTGATCTATTCACATCATCAGTGATTGTGACAGTTACTGTTCCTGGTATAATCAACTACGGGCGCATAGTCCAGGATATTGGTTACCTGGGAATTGGTTTGTTGACAAAACAAAGGCTCACTCTTATAAACTGTTGTTAAATGACCTTTGGTTCGTTCTTGTTTTATCATCAGTTAATGGAGGGGGGCACTTGCAATAGCACTATTATTGGACGCCCAATTTTGGTGTGGGTGGAGCGTTGGACTATAGAAAAAGTCTCTGAGCATCATGTGGAGAGTTAGTTTTCATTATGGAATCATTGTCGAAGCCGCCGAAGGGTGGCCATGATCAATGGTTGGGACTTGGAACACTCATGCGCGGCCCGCTCAGCCAGGAGGTGATGGATTGATTCCCCTTAGTCAGTCGAAATTCCTCTTCCCCAATTTAATAATGTAACTGTAATGTAGAACAACCAGTGCTCGGCAATCTTAGGAGGATTTCCGTCTTCTCTCAAACACACTCCCAGTACCTCAGACACCGCCCAAACCGCAATGGCACGGTTCAAGGGCCAAAAGGTGCGAATCACTCGTACTCGTAGCTTATGCAGGGTGGGTCTCACCACACACATACTGATGTGCACACACTCACGCCTTCGCAAATCATTACCCGCAGATGTCGTAGTGGGCATTGTGTCTGTTTGCCAGCGCATGCCTGTCTTCGGAAGTGGAAACCACCACATACCGGCCCTTTCCCTTTTCGAGACGCCGATGGATCTAATACCTGACCGAATTACAGTTACGATGGATGACTATTGCCCCCCCTGAATTCCTTTCCTTCCAACAATGAACACTTGTACAAAGCCAGCAAGCAGTGATGATTGCAAGTTGGCATCACGATCTTGTATTTCTCATCTGGAGATTTTGGCCCGTCGTCATCGTACATGCAATTGCGAGAGGAGAGACGATAGCCTGATCAATAATGGCCGAAGATCCCCCACCTTCCAGTTGTGAAGTTGAACGGGCGTACTCCGTACCTATGCATCATACAACCCCAATGGTGGCCGCATCACTGCCGGTCCCGTCATCGTCATACCATCATCGCATGTACTGTACGTAAAGACTTCAATAATACAACATACGGTACAGCCTTAAGAAACTCAAGAGATGGACCACCAGCCGAGCGACAGCCGCCGCCTGCACGACTGAAAAAGTAGTTCCTGTTGAGATGGAAGCGCTCTGAGCTCCCAGATATTAGGCGTCGAGGTGATGTAGGATGTAGGTTTTAGGCTGAAAGAGGACTAGATCGGTACTTCTCAACGTCACTTTAACCCGCCCTAGCGGTCGATTACAGTGAGTAAAACATCTCCTCATTAGTTTATACCGTCCAGTGGCAGCCATAAGCCCACTGAGAACGTCTCAAGCGGCGATAATTGGCTGTCGGAGGATTTGCCTTGCCACTGAGCATCGGTTGCTGAGTTTCTGGTTGGTTGAACTCCCTGCCCTAAGGATGGTGCGTGACCTGGCAAGCGCCGACCGGTCTGAAACCATTTGTAACTATTTGTAACCGTTTATTACTAGGTTACCAAACTAACAATACCTTACGGCAGCGGCGAATACCGCGATTCCCAGGCTCGGCTCTCTCGAAGAGTCCAAACCCTCTGCAGATCGACCGCTTCCAGGGACTGATTAACCACTGACTAGGGGACAAGGGACTCGAATGAAGGAATGAATAGTTCCATCCGTTCCCTCCTCATACAAGCCAGATACGTAAGTTACCGCGCTTCCCTTGCGGGTCTCCACTGTACTTCCTTTCCACTGGCTCAGCCCCTCTTGCTTCCCTCTCTGCGCTCTCCCTCTCTCTCTCTGTCTCTGTCTTTCTCGCCTTCGCCTCCCGTCCGCTCCGAGCGCCCGCTGCACTGCTCTTTTTCTCGCTCTCTCTTCCACCTTTCTTGTCCCGCCCACCCATTGAATGATCGATTCCCCATCCCACAACCCAAACTAAGCGCGCAAATTCACACCACCGCCCCCCCCCCCCTCTCCACCTTCAGTCTTTCTTCTTATTCTTCCACTTCCACTTCGCATTTACTCTTCTTACTTCCCCCTTGTTCGCTTGCCTAATTCTCATTCCCAATTCTCACTTCTGATCCGTTTCGTTCCTGTTTCCTTTCACCTTCACTACTACTACTACTACTTCTTTCACCACACATTCCATCCCAACTCTCTGTCATTCTTCTTCACATACCCTATTCCCTTTTGGTTCGTCTGGTTTGTTCGGAGTACTTGTTTGCGGGATTCCAGAGCGTCGGCCCTTGTTTGTATCCACTTAAACAGCCTTGAGCCTACTTGTTCAACGATATAACGTCTCGGTGTCGTTCGCTGCATTATCCACCCATCATACCGTCAAGATGTCGACCTTCTTCTACGGCCACCAGCACCAACACCAGCACCAACACTCCCACCACGGCGCTGCCACCCACATGACGACCTCCAACAACCACCACGGCGGTCGCTCTCGTCGAGGACCCAAAATGACGGCGCAGAATGCCCAGCGCCAATTCCGCGGTGTCAAGAGTATGAGGGAGCTTGCCGAGGCTCCCGCGGTGACTGCTTTCCGTGCTCGATTCGAGGCTGGACGCTCTTTCGACCTGGACGATGACCTGGAATTTTGCCCCGGGCTCCTGACAGAAGATGATGTATGTATTTTTCACTCCTCACGACCAGGCAAAATCCGCCGTTTTTCGAGAACAGCCTATTGACGGGATCTCTCTTTCAGCTGCACTCGATCCACTCCGCATCTTCGGATCGCTCGTCACTTTCGAGTGGCTCTCCTGATTCGTCTCCTCTTCAGCATCAGATTCAGCCCGTGCAGCAGGTTACGCCTTCCATCTCGTTGTCTCCTGCGTCTACGAATGCCTATGTCCACTCAGGGGTTACCGGTAACCTCAATCACGTGAACTACCAACAGCCATCTGCCGTTCGCACCCGCAAGGTCATTCCTATTGTCAACCCCAACACCGGCATGACCTTGACGAGCCCGCCTACGTCAATTTCGCCTGCCTCGATGCAGAATGCTCAACGTCGGTGGTAAGAACCGTGTGTTGACATGTCGCCAGTCCACTGGCAATCGGGCCTACTTTCGCCCATGGCACGTTCTTCTTCCTTCGTCCGGCTTCTGCATTGTCGGGCTCCCTAACCGCGGGTCATAATTCTTTCTTTGCTTGTTTCTGTTCGACACGGCCATCGCATTCACGATCAAACTCAAATTCCCCCTTCTTCGCTTGACGATTGCAAAAACGCCAACGGCTAAACCAGTTATTCTCTGTATATACACCTTTCACCGATGACGACTTCGAACACACTTATACCTAGACTCTGATGCTTTCGGCTTCTTGCGAGCGACGGCGCCTGCGATTCGATTTCTGCGTTTCATCACCAACGATACCTTGTTTTCCTCATCCGGTTAGGGAAAATCACCTGCTTTGCCTTTGTCCGCGACGATGTATAGAAAGCGCGGCACTTTCTGCCATTCAGGCGCTCATCTAGGTTCTGGAGTTGCTTTTAGATTTCTGGCGGCTATGCCAGACATGTTCAGCGGTTTTTTCATCTTATTTTTGGCTCGGTGTTTGTGCACAATTGGGTGGGTCGGATTTTTATCTCATGCTTTCAGGGATCTAGAAAGGCGGAAACGATATACGTCTGCATTGGGTTTTGTTGTGTTGCTTGGGATGTTTTGGTTGCTTGTGGCTCATCTGTCATTTCTTTTCGTTTGGAAAATCTTTATGTAAATGGTTTGGGGGTTGGTGACATGCGGTGCTTGTTGCTGTTTCAGGTCAACTGGCTGTGAAAATCCATGGACTGGATGTGGAGTTCTGAGGGACCTTTCGCCTTCGCAGCGAAGTCTAGACCGATGTTGCTTTCTTCTGTCGCCCGACGACGACTTTGTTTCACTTCTGTCTGCTTCCGCGTTGATTCGTTCGGATAATTCTGTACCTGGGGACTCCCGGCGAGTGTGATCCATATGCAGTGTATGATGCTTTTCCTGGGTGGTTCATCTTCCATCGAGTTTCCTATGTCTATAACTTGTTGACCATGCGGGTAATGCCTATACATAGTTGTTCCATTAGTTTGGACTTGCGCAATCTCCACCATTTGCTCTAATGGACGTCCATTTCTTCGAATTATCACTTCTGCTCGATCATACAGGCGGCAGCGTTGTTTTTGCAGGCTTTGGAGTTGTAATTGCGAGGCTAACGGAGTGGATCGCAAATCACCGCATGGTGATGCGCTTCATGTTGCAGGCCGAGATATATTCATTTCAGTACCATGGCTGTTGAAAGGCTTGTTGATGGGTGATGTGAGCTCTTCCGCTCCAGCTGTGGTGGCGATGCCTCGGAAAATATATCCATGCGTGCCTCAAGCGAGCTCTCGGTGAAGAAGTTTGGACGATGAAATTCATTCATGGAGATGAGAAAGATATCGTATCAATTGGAATCGGTGACTATGGCGACGCGACAACAAGGGATTTTTCTAAAACTTAAGAAAGTGTGTTGAGGGGAGAGTGTGGGTGATGTCATCGCCTTGATCTGCAGCAGCAAACATGGCAGACGCACCTCAAACCCCTAGAATAGAAGCTGGCCTGGCCGGATCAAGGGATACTACAGTACATGTACTGAGTAGATTGAGTAACTCACTACCTACAATACATACAAGAAACCTACTCGGTTCAATTCCAACAAACTACAGAGTTAAGCAAGTAAGAGGTACTGAATGGACATACAACTCAGTGGTACAGTCACAGAAGAGGTAGCATAGCCCTTTCAAACGGGACCTGTGCTAATCTTGTTACTCCACGCCTGGTCAAAGGCAATGGGCCTCAGTGGAGAGGAAACCCGCATGTGCTATCCATGACGTCACCTTGCAACGCGAATGCGACTTTTCGTCTTGACCACTCACGCCTTCACTCACTCCAGCAACAACTTACTTCAGCGAATAATGGAGTCATTTTCTGGGCTGGACCGACGGCGACGTAGATACCTTTAACCCTTTACCCGAGGCAGAACGGAATTTGCAATTTGCTGTTTAAAAAGCGTCCCCCCCATCCTTCCTGCATTGTTCCCAAGTTCGCTATCACTATACTACATCTACTTTTCCCATCCACTGAGATAGCTTCTATTACTATCGATATTCTCTATCTAAAGTCCATCAATTGAATAATGTAAGCTCTTCAAATTCCCAGCGCTGGTGTCATTGACATCATCCCTGCTGTGTCTTCCTTTTTTTTTCACCTCGTCGTCAACACTATTCGTTCACTTCCATCAACTTCATTCCCCCATCATCACCACCGCCACCGCCAACCCAGCCGCTACAATAGCAATAGAAACGAAAGACAAGAAAAGACACTGACAATAATTCCCCCAGAGGAATTCTTACAAGTTACCATCATGTCTTTCCTCACCACCGTCCGCACAACCCTTGCCCCTCGTCTGGCCACCCCCCTCCGCCCCGCCATGACCTCCGCTCTGCACACCTCCGCTCCCCGCGCCGGCCTCAACGAAAGCGATCGCAGTGAGTTTTCCCGCATTGCCCAATCTAAACCCCACCGAAACTGACCCCCTTGATCATTAGACCGCGACGACCTCGACAAGATCTACGAGGAGCACAAGAACGACCAACTCAAGCACAGCAAGCAAGGCACCGCCAAGTGGAAGCAGGAGCTGGCCAGCAACAGTGAAGCTTCAGTATGTTCTACTTTCCCAAAAATCAAAACCAAAACCCTTGACCTACCCCCCACCTTCCTAGCCTTTTCTTCCCAAGGTAATGATTGATCGAGACTAACCACGCATCGCCATACTGCAGGTCAAGGCTGATCGGGGTGACATCGACAGCGATGACAAGGACTTTGCGACGCTGCAGGAGCGCACGAAAGGTCTGCCCAACCGGGAGGGGAACGTGAATAAGACTCAATAGGTTCCTGTGTCTTTTCTTGATCGTTAATGATTGCGCCTTGTATTATGTATGTATGTATGGGGTTTTTAGCTTTTTTTATTCATCTATCTGGGTTAGATGAGATCCAATATTATCTTCTATGAGATTCTCTTGACATGCTTTGATACCGTGGAATAGGTAGAAGATGTGTAATTGGTATTCTGATAGTGGTGGATCGATTGTGGGTATGTGTCTCCTTATCTAAAAGGGTACTAGGTAGTGTGTGATGTACTCCATCTTGTGTGTAGTTGCTATGGACCAAAACCTGGGTGTAGATGTATGATGATAAGGTACCCCGCAACGCCGCAGTCCCGTCAATGGGGGGAGGGAAGAGAGAAAATGAAAGCTGCTGTCGGTATATATTGGCTGAAGGGAACAGACGAAGGAGTGGGTGATTGAAAGAGGAGAGGGAGGGAGAGAAGAAAGAGACAAAGTACGACTCAGAAACACAGTACAAACGCCGGACTCGCCCTCCTGGGAATCACAAACGACCCCCCAAACCCAAAACAAACCATATATATAAACTCTCCGAACCCGCGAGATTAAAAGAAATGTCACTTCAAAAGCACGATCAAGATCACCAGCGTAATAATCAACCCGATGATAGTCATCATACTCCAATTCTCACCGGCACTGCGCCGGAACCGATCCAGGCGCTTCCTCGCCTTATCCAACCGCCCCTGATGCCGATCCACATGCCCATCCAGATCATCCAGCAACGCCACATGGCCTTCTAGCTCGTCCCCAATCTGGATGCTCAGCTGGTGCTGCCGGCTGATCGACTCGCCCAGCCGGTCCAGATGCTCGTCCTGGTCCCGGAGCGCCTGCGCGTGGTGATCGTAGATCTGCTCGTTCGACAGCCCGTCCATGCTGGCGGCGCTGGCCCCGGGCGGCGGGGACGGCGAGTCGCGGTACGGCCGGAAGAGGTTCCGCCGGTGCTCCTCGTCGTCGGCCTCGGCCGCCTCGGCCGCCGCCGCGGCGTCCATGAAGCGCACGGATTTCGAGGACGGGTGCTGCGGAACGGGCTGCTTGAGGTCCGGGGAGGAGTTCTTCACGTGGTTGGCGAAGCCGGACGATGAGGACGAGGAAGCAGAGGCTGCCTCGGCGATGGCGGTCGTGATCTCGTGGAACTGAGCGGATAGCTCGTCGTGCTGGGAGTGGAGGTGGCTGAGCTGGTCGCGGAGGTCGGCGACGTCGTCATCGTGCCGGCCCTTCTGGGCTTCGAGCTGCGCGCACTCGTCTTCGATGGCGTCGATGCCTTCTTTGAAGGAGTCCAGGGACCGCGAGATCTCGCCGTCTTGGCTGTTGGGCTCCAGGCTGAGGGAGATGGCGCGTTGACGCTCGAGGAGCGAGAGCTTGATGTGATCGGCGAGGAGGAGGAGTTGGCTGGGGTTTGGCATGGTGGCGATTTGTTGTGAGAGGCAGGAAGGAGGAGGTTGGTGGGCTCGTGGATGAGAGGATTTGGGTGTGTTGAGAGGCGTTCGAGGTGGGTGAGATGGGATGATGATTGCGGAGTAGACAGCGGAACGGTCGGGTGGGATTGTACGGATTTCGTGTCAGGCTGTTTGACGACTGCGCTAATTTAAAAATTCCGCCGGGGAAGAAGAACAGCGCCGGGCTGATGGAAAGAATTATGATAAGAGATGGGTTGACGTGGCTGGATTGGGAGTTCGTTGTGAGAGAGGATAAGTGAGATTGGAGATGAGATGGCGAAGGACGAGGGATGATCGGCTGCAGCAGCAGTAGTGCCAGTGTGGTGGTGGATCTGCCGCTCTCCGCGCCGCATTGAATTCCATCGGGCAGTCTCGCTCCCTCCCCGCAGTTCATCCATTCTCCCAGTAATTGCGCTCCCTCACTACGTCTTCCTTCCTTGACCGACTCATACCCGCGCCCTCAAACACTCTTTTCGTCCGATATACTCTCTTTTGGTCACCTTTCGAGCCCCCTCATGGGTCTTTGCTTCGAGCTATCGTTTCGTTTTCCGGGTCAAGAACGGCAATTAAACGGTTGATCTCCTCTCCCTCCTTGCGCAGAATCGGCTCCCGGACGGGCGGAGGATCAATCTCAAGGCTCTTATCACATATTAGAAATCCCTCATGGCAGAGCAAAACATCTCAAAATGACAAACATCACCCTTGAAGACCTTTTGGTCATGGAGGCGAATTGCGACCGCGACGAGAGCGTCGACCTGCGCTCACTGGACTACGTTTCCAGCTACGATGACCATCTTATGTGTCCGATATGCCACTGCCCCTTCATACACCCAGTCCGGCTGAAGTGCGATCATGTATTCTGCCAGAAATGCCTTGTATCGGCCATCACGACCTTCACAGCATCACGAGACGACTTTACGTGTCCTGCCTGCCGCACACCCACCGGCGGAGTTTACCTCAAACTCCCCCGCCTCCTGGTCAACATGTGCGACGAGATTCGAGTAAGGTGCCCATTTCGGAGCGAAGGGTGTGAGGAAGTGGCTCCAAGAGTGTTCATTCAGACTCATGTCGACAAGTACTGCGGGTATAGAGCGATGGACTGTCCGCTGGGCTCATGTGGGTTGAAGACACGGAAGAAGGACCTCGACCCGGAGGGGAGATGCTTGCATGAACTCCACCAATGCGCGCGCTGCGAGGGTAATGTCATGGAGCAAGACTATAAGGTGCGCACAAAACTGCTAGATTCCGGGTTCATTGCATTGCATTTTCATGGCCTGCTAACCTTATGCCTCCGACAGGAACACGTTGACGAATTATGCCCCAATCTCCAAACCACCTGCCCAGACTGCCATACCACGATCCTACGCAAAGAACTCAAACAACATGCAAACTCTTGCCTTGAATCCATTCACAGCTGTGCCGCCTCGAAATACGGCTGTCCCATTCAACTCAAGCGCGCCGACCTAGCCACGCACGAGCAAACCTGCCCTTTGATCTCCATGGGCCCGTACTTTGACGCTCAGAATGCGCGCCTCGACTCGCTCGAACTCACCATTCGCCATCTCAAACAACGGAACGAGATCTTCGAGGACGCTTTAGCGAACATCCGAACCACCCTGGCCCAGTCGCCGATAGCTTCTGCTGGCCCGGATGATCGCGCAACGACTTCTACTCCAACCCGCCGCAATAACAACGACCCAACATCTCCCAACAGCCAGTCCCAGATCGATAGTTCCAACCAATACACCGCCACCACGACAAACTATCTTCTCTCCTTACACGAGTCCCTCCGCGAGGAAGTAGGACAGCTATCCCACGCCATCACGGATCTCGACGCCCGCGCCAGCATGGCGATCATGAGCGAATGCCTCCGCATCAAGGAGGACATGGCCCACACCAACGCCGCGGTGAGCAGTATACGCATGCAGGTGCAATGGCTTATGAACCCTCGACTCCACCAACACCAAAGCTCACAACGGACCGGGGGCGTCCGCACTGGTACCACCCCCGGTGGTCATACTCCCACGGCTGCTGCCGGGCCCAGCACCTCCGCCATCCCGCTTCGTCCGCGTAGGCTTAGCGATAGTGGACGCGAGGGGACGAAATTGTAGACCCTAGTGTTCCACAGTCATCACTACACTTCTTCGGTTCTGCTTTCCTACGACTGCTAGGTATGTCAACATAGTCAACCACTATGCGACACCTGCGATGAGGGAGATTCACAATGTCTTTAGCGAGATAGTCATTTCGGTTTCGATTTTCTGTTCTTATACACAGGCAGCGCTGGACTTTTTTTAAATCGGCGCGAGTAGAAGGCAGGCGCATCCTCGATTTTCCTTTCCTTGATTTCATCTTTATCCTGTGGGCTGCATGTGTGGCTATCTCTTTCCCTCCCATGACTATTGTACTGTACTCGTTATGAGTACAGTGAGTGTATATAGAAGCTTCGGCGCCTTTGATCAATTTAATGCAATATCACCAGTCTCTAGCATTACATACAACTATTGATCTACTACTACTCCTTGCTTACAGTTATACCCTGTGCTGGCTGTAGTTAGTGTTTCCCCGGTGCTGTAGCAAGCTTTGCTTCCGCCGGATGCGCTTCTTTCTCTCTTTGGCGTGCCTCAACTTGCTATGGGAGCGGGTGTACATGGCTAATCAGAAGGCAGGTGGGTTAGGTGGCAGTACTGGGCCGGACTGCCGGCTCTCTACCAGCCTTCGAGATGTAGTTCTCACTATAGCGAAGGAGATGAGGAGTTGAACGGATGGTACGTGATCTATGGTTTGCGGGATATATATACCTCAAAACCGGGCCGATGGACACTGCGGCGGCGTGCCAGGGGTAACAACAAGCAAACTAAGAAGGAGTTTATACAGGATAATTGTGACTGCTGTAAAAAACCAAGATCCAGGCACCCATGGGATGAAAACTCTATGCACGGAATGAGTGGAAGATCTCAAAAAGACAAAAAAAGATGAAGCCCAACGCGGGGGTTGAACCCGCAACCTTGAGATTAAGAGTCTCACGCTCTGCCGATTGAGCTAGCCGGGCTGATCTTGTTGAAGGGTCAGGTAGTATTGGCAAAATGTTCTTGCATTATGCTACTGTAGATCAAATTCATATAAACTAATTTCACCCTCCACCCCACCCTATCCCTGGCCAGGTAACTTACAACTGCTTCATCCACTCGGTAGGAACTGCGTGGTTAACATACTCTGACACAAGCTTTGATTCTCCGGCCCCATGAAGTCAGCTCGTATGACGAAATGGGGTGTGGCTTGGGGTGGCTGTAGCTCAGCTCAGCTCAGCTCGTTTCTGCCACTGCCAAGCAAGGCGAACCGTCTCATTGTTTGGGATCATGGATCTATACTGCCATGCCTGTGGTCACAAGGATTCAAGGATGCAAACACAACAGTTTTGGTGGTAGACTATTCGACGACCGATACCCGAGGAGTATTACTCGTCAAGGGCAGCTGCAGTATGTTTACTCCGAAGAGTAGTCTAGAACGTGCAGTATTCACAGTAAATAATAACCGCAATGACGCGGCTTGGGGTTTCCCAAAGAGGCAGAATGGCGGGGCAGCGAGTCCCAACTCCCAAGACTCTCTGGGCAGCTTGTCTTGGCCGTGGCTTGCGCCTCTCGCTGATCAGTGAAAACAAACTCGCTTCGTCATTTTTTTTCTCTCTTCACTTCTTCTTTCGACCGTCTTTACTGTCTGTTTTCTGCAAAAACACTGCAGACTCTCTTCCCGCTGCATTGCGCCTTTAGTTACGTCTACTCGCGGGATTCGACCTCCTTACTGCTTCCATATTATCCACCCACTTTTGCCCGGAGACCCTGCAGATCTTCCGCGCTATGGCTCCGCGGCTGAATTTGGGCTCCCATGCCCTCCTCATCCTGGGCGTTTTGCTCGTTCTGCTGCCGGCCCAGACTTACGCCTTTGGCGCTGGAAGTAAATAATCCCTTCGAGGCCATTCTGTCTTTTGTTCACCTGCTAAACCTAGCTAGACATCGCATCGATCTCCGCCGTGGAGGGCAAGAACTGGCGCCATGGAGACATTGAAGATATGCTTAAGACGGTCGCCTTTATCAAAGGACACAAGTGGACTTCCACCATGGTCAAGCGCGTCTACTTTGGTAACTGGTTGCGTGATTACTCGCAGGCCATGGATGTCGGTACTCTCAAGAACCTACAAGCCGATACTATCCGTATCCTTGTTTGGATTCTGTCTTTCATGACCTTCGGATACGCCACGGCGGAGTTCGAGGTCACCTCCGATAGACTCGGTGTTTACCGCCCTGAGGAGCATATTGACAACCCTAAGGACTATGCGGACAATCAGGATGCGCGCCAGTACGACAAACGCTTGCGTGGACCGATCCGCCAGGTGGAACTCGAGATCGACGCTGATACCGGCATGAAGAACTACATCGCCAACGAAGGTGGAGACTGGACGACCAGCTCCGGATATATCAAGTACAGCTTGGCTCGGAGCATTCACTACGGGCGGACCTACACCCACGGTAGAGACAAGGGCAACGAGGCCGACCTTTGCGAGGCTCTGCGGTGTCTGGGTCAGGGCCTCCACACCCTGGAAGACTTCGCGGCACACACCAATTACTGTGAGCTTGCGCTTCGTGAGATGGGCTTCAAGAATGTCTTCCCGCACACAGGTGTCAACACGGAACTGAACGTTCGCGGTCGCCGGGTCTTCCCGCTGGTGACAGGAACATTCGGTATGGTGGATTTCTTCCATTCCGTTCTGGGGGAAGCCACCGATCACTTCACTCAGTCGGAAGTTAACGAGATGGATATCGCTCTTGGAGATGCTCAGAATAACTCGTCCGCGAATGCCCTTGGCGCTTTCACGAATCTGTTGGGCGGGATTCCGGGAACGAAGGATCTCGTCGAGGAAGCTGAAGAGCTTAAGCGTCGCTCGGAGGCTCAAGAGTCTGCAAATCGGAGCGGTGGTGCTCGCCAGGGCTATGGCTCAAGCAGAGGGTTTGAGGAAGATTACGGTTCCTCGCGCTCTCGCGGCTTTGATGACTACGAGTCCTCGCGCTCTCGCGGCTTCGATGATGAAGAGCCTAGCAGCTATAGGGCTGGGGAATCAGCACGGCCTCAGTCTAGTGGAGGATCCGGTGGCTCGGCACTGCAAGACTTTGACCCAAACAAGACAATTGCGCAGATCTATCCAATCCTCGAGTTCAGAGACAAGGTGGTTCGCAAACTTACTTCGATCATTGAGAAGATTCCTGGGCTGGAGGCCGTCGTCGAGAAGATCACGGAGACCCTGACGGTCTTCATCATGTCTCTCCTCGCACCTTTCATTCGTCCTATCATCAATGCTGCTTCCAAGTCGCTGCAAACTGGCTCTTCTGGCGTGATTGATGCCTCTGGCCAGCATCAGTATGAGCCGTGGACAGAACCCGACTGTACCGATCCAACCCACTCCATGTTGTCCAAGGACCACTTTGCCAACATCCTCAACGAGCCTGCTGGTCAGGTTGCATCTGCTATTCTCAAGTATGTGGCTCCACGCGTTCTCCATGCTTGGGAGAACATCAACATCTCGGAGGAGCAAGTGTTGGACGATTGCTTGAAGGTGTTCCACCACCCTGCTCTTCGTGACCACCGCAACGAGGCTCACCGGACTATGTTCGAAGCCGTCGAGACCTGGGTTCAATCCCGATCCGATAGAGGCTCTAGACTCAACGACATTCTGAGCGCCGAGGGTGTAAAATCCGGCAAGAACACGGGTGGTGTACCCCACACCCATGGCGCTAGTGGGAACCAATCTGGACACAGCCAGCAGCATCGTCCTCCTTCCTCACAGCAGCAGCAGCAGCAGCAGCAGCAGCAGCAGCAGCAACAGAGCGGCGGCTTACCATTCGGAGGCCTTTCCAACTTGCCCATTCCTGGTATCTCTAACCTAGGGGGCCTGAACAGTGCCTTCTCCAATCTTATGGTTGGCGGTTCATCGAGAAACGAGGAGCCCGAGCAGACTCAAAGCTCGACCTACCAGACCTCATACCAGAACGAACAGACTCAGAGCTCGACATACCAGACCTCATACCATAGCGAGCAGCAGTCGTACCAATCCCAGCAGCAGTACTCGGGGCAGTCCTACGGTTCTTATGAGCAATCTCGTCCTTATGAGCCACGGCCGTCGTATCCCAGTAGCCAGGGCTATGACTACAGCGGCCCCCGGAAGGAATCCCACCATCACCATCAGCCTCGCCCCGCCTACCCCAGCCAAGGCTATGAGCACGGCGGCGAGTCGGATGGCGGTCGTCACCCTCCCGGCCATTTGCCCCCGGGTCCCTCAAGTGATTCCTACGGAGGCAACAGTGGCTACAGCGGGGGCTATAGCCAAGGGTATGAGCACGGCGGCAAGTCGGATGACGGTCATCATCATCACCGACACGATGACCACATCCATCACCCTCCCGGCCATTTCCCCCCTGGTCCTTCATATGATTCCTATGGAGGCAATAGTGGCTACGGCGGTGGCTACAACCAAGGCTATGGCTCAGGTGAGTATCGTTACTGAGTGGCGTTACTTTGGCAAGCGTATGCGGCTCCTACTTCAGCATTTGGACTTTACTGTCTTCTATTCTGTCATTCTTGTATTCTAAGAATGGAACCATTTATAGGAATGAGAACACTTGTGTACTGAGCTGTGTGAGAAATGATGACTCTCAGGGGTGGCGACAAGTGAAATCTTGGTGGTTAGAAGGTGTAGTTAAGTGTAGCCAACCAAGTTCTCTCAACCTTCAACATGTAGGTCTCAGTACAATAGCTTGGCGAACTGTGAAATCACGTGACATGGGCTTTTCAGGAACACCAACAAGCCAATTTCCATAGGCCTGCTTTACTTGGCAATGGCAGAAACGAACTGAGCTGAGAGGGTCGCACTGAGCCACAGCCACCCCAAGCCACAGCCACCCCGTTCCGTCATACGAGCTCATTCTGTCAATCGGCCCAGAGGATCACTGCTCGTGTTAGAGTATGTTGACCACGCAATTCGTACTGAGTACTGCGTAGATAGCGTAGTATATGTAATGCTAGTAATTGGGATCCACAATAAGCTCAGCAGCAAAAACTAAAACAAAAGACAAAAAAGAAAAAAAACAAATATAGAAATGAGACACAGGCATGTAACCATGTCCCATGGTTACTTTGGGAAACCCCGCTTTGGCTCCTCCTCTTATCGATTGCTCGCGTTTCTGCCCGCCGCGGGGTAAAGTTATTAAGGCAGACCAAACAATGCTACGACCTGACTCAAGCAACAGACTGCGACAGGACAAGCATTATTAGCTATCTCAGCACAGGTGAATTACAGCAAGGCAACTGACTCGATTAGACTTAGCGATAAAAAAAAAGGTAACCCTACTGATAGGGTGGTATTCAGCCGTAAACATAGTTGTGTAAGGGTTGTATAGATGTTACTCCAACCCCTTCGGGTATACCTCTCTTGCTGCAGTGCTAGTACGATACCATAACTGAGCACTGTTTATTTATACCGAGCCCCATAGATCGGCCACTCTCTCTTTTCCCCACCAAAGGCTTTCTCTTCGCTCACTTACCCATCCCCGACCTCTCCTCATCACCACCATCACCACCTTCCCGTCATCAATAAAAACAATGACAGCCACCGAACCCCCCACCCCCTACCTGTCCGCCCTCCAACGCGACGGCTTCGTCGTGATCCCCGCCCTCCTCACGCCCCCCGAAATCACCCACTACCGCCGCATCGCCACAGCCGCAACGCACCTCACCCGCACCGGCCAATGGCCATACTTCCGAACCGTCCCCAAACAATTCCCGCCGTGGCCCAGCACCCTGCCCCCGGCCTCCGAAGGCGGCATCTGGGGCGTGCAGCACCTGCTGCACCCCGACATGCCCCACCGGACGGACTTCGCGCGCTTCTACTTCTCCTCGAAAGTCCTCGCCGTCGCCGAGGAGCTGTTGGGGCTGAGCACCACCCCCAGCAGGAACGACGAAGACGGCGACGAGGAACCCCTCGTGATGGAACTCTTCAACCTCCTCGTGGCCCCGGAAACCCACGACTTCGCGCTCCGCTGGCACCGCGACGACATCCCGGAGCACGTGTCCCCGGACGAGGAACTCCGGCTGCTGCAGACCAAAAGCCCGCACGGCCGCCAGTCCCACGCCCAGTATAACCTGGCGCTGTGCGAGGATCGCTCGCTGATCGTGGTGCCGGGGTCGCATCGGCGCGTGCGCACGGCGGCCGAGCGCGCCGCCGATCCCTACGCGGCGGAGTTGCCGGGGCAGGTGGTTGTGACTCTCCATCCGGGCGATGCGGTGTTCTATGATAGTAATATCTTGCATCGTGGGGTGTATCGGGCTAAGGTGGCCGGGGTGGAGGAGGAGCCGCGGTTGACGTTGCATGGGAGTTTGGGGTTGAAGGGCTCGGTGGATGGGGATGACCAGGGGGATGGTGGTGCTGGGAAGAGTGCGGCGGTGCGGGCGACGGCGGTGTTGCAGCATGGGGTTGGGGCGTGGGTGCAGCGGGAGGATGCCGCGTTTGGGATCGGCGAGCGCCCGGAGAGGATGAGGGCGAATCTTGTGGCGATGGGGTCGGGCGAGGGCGTGGGGTTTTCTCTGCAGGGGTGATTGTTTCCCTGAATGGGGACCTGGTTCCGACGAGATGTAGAATACTGCGGTGAGGAGGTGTGGGGTTGGAAGGTACATTGTGAAGAGTGTCGGTTCCCTGAAGTGATACATTTCTCGATAGCAAGGTGATCCCCAAGGAAAGCATGAGCCCACAACTCAACTGTAGGAAGAAAAAGTACGATCCCGCTCAGGTTCAACCGGTGATATGTACAGCTTCAGCTCATTACAATGGCATATATACACATCATTTATGGTCATCAGCATCGTTATCATCATCCGCAGCATCAGCGTCAGCATCGTCACCGCCGTTATAGTCATCATCACCAGCCTTCTCCGGTGGTTTCTGTCCGTATACATAATGGAACAGGGTATAGATGTGGAACGAGCCGTGCACCAACTCATGCCGCACATCCTGGGCATACTGTTGCGCTTGCTCGTACGTGTAATCCATGACCCGCGTCAACAACGCCAGCGAATACGGCTCGATGGTATCGAAGAAGGCCGCCTTCCCCATGCGACCGAGCTCTTTGAAATGCGGGTTTCTCGCCCACGGGCCCAGCGGACACTGCATGTTCCCGAGTCAGTATGGATTTTTTGTGATTGTTCGCAAGCTGGACGAGGCGAACAGATTTGTTTCTCTTGGGGGAACCACCTTATACGTATCATCCGTGACATTCTGAAACCCCGCGTCTTGCATCCACCCCCGCACACTGGAGGCGATATTCATGCGCTTCCCGAACCTGCGACTCGCCTCGTCCAACTTCCGCTGGTACTCGTGGATCCGCACCGCCTGCTGGTCCGTCCCATCGTCCGAGCGGATCCAGGTCTCGAACTCCTGGATCTCCACCCACCCGCCGGGCTTGACGTGCTGGTACGCCTGCTGCAGGAACCGGGGCCAGTCGGCGATCGAGCCCCCGAGGGACCGGCCGTGGACGTAGTCGAAGGCCTCCTCGGGCGGGAAAGCCCAGTCGCTCTCCGCGTCGTCGATGATAAACGAGCAGTTGGGCGGGGTGTAGCGGGGCTGGATGGGACTGAGGTCAGTGCCCACAATCTCCGCGTGCGGGTAGGCGTCCGCGATATCCAGGGCCCAGACGCCGGTGCCGGTGCCGACATCGAGCACGCGCTGCGGGCGGTGCGGGGGGCGGAGGACCGGGGCGCGGTGCAGCTCGCCGCCCGTGACGCTCTTGAAGAGCTGGTGCAGCAGCGTGAGCCGGTCCTGCTCTTCTTGGTCGTTGGGCACCGGGTACTGGCCGTTGCGGTAGGCGTGGTAGCGCCGGCCATTCTCGAAGCAGTAGTCGCGCACGGTCGAGGAGATGGTGAGATTGGAGCCGACAATCGATTGGGCGTCCAGGAGAGAATCGTTGTCATCGTCGGTCTAGGTGAGAGGTAAGCTTTGTGCTACGTTATCTTCCGGGCTGGAAACTTTGTGGAACATGGAGCAGAGCAAGTGTCAAAACAGGACAGATGATGAATGCGAAGAGATAATATACCCTTCTTGAAAGTTTGACGGTTGCTCTTCAATTGATGAATGCCCATGACGTGATTGATTGTTGCAGCAATGAGATCACATGATGTTCTGAAAAGTGATGTGAGAACAGCAGCGGAAAGACTTCCAGCTCGGCTGATATAGAGGGGAGAAGTGGATGAAATTCAGTAGTGGCAGATGCGGATCAAATCAGACTGGGAAACGGCACAGGAAGTCTTACGTCTATTTGAATTTGTTCATCGATGTTTGGCTGCGGCATATTGCTTGATGGCAGTACAGACGGAAAAGACCGACAAGGAAATGAATGGGAAGGAAATCCTTCTACAGGTCGCCAGCGGTATAATGCTTCCCGACTGCGGGACAAGCGTGTCAACGAGAGAGAGAGTGACAGACTAGGAGGAATTAAGAAGGTGTACGGAGTGAAAAGACGAGAGAGAACAACAAGAGGAAGAGTAGGGGAAGAAGAAGAATTGACCGAGACCGTCGACAGGTCAGTAGGAAAGAGGAGAGTCGGGATAGGAAGTATGAATAGTTAGGCGCATTGACCGGGGGTGTCAGCCTGTCAGGGAGTCGCGGACCCAAGAAACAGAGCGTCGGGTCCGCCGGAGGGTGGCGGTGTGCCGGCTCCGTCCCACTGGAATTTGCTTGGTATTGTCAACTCAGCCTCCAGCCTCCAGCATCCAGCCTTTTTCAAGGTTTCTTTCTTTTCCAAGTGCTTTCTTGCTTCGCTTGATTCTGCCCCCCTTTTCGACTCTTTGCTTATTACTTACACATATACTCCGTACAGATCTCTTGTCTCCTTACGGAGAGGTGATCAAGCAGCAAAGACAAACAAACAAGAATCTGACAAGTACATCCATAGAATCCACCCCAAGAGATCGACGACCCCAATCAACAATCACCAGAACCCACCCACTTTGCTGGTGGAAATCGATCTCTCCCGTTCACTACTTCACCCACTTATTGGCTGGATAAGACATCCCCCTCTTCCAGCCTGCCAACTAAACCCTAGCTACATAGTACAGTACTTTAGGTAGCAGCTCAGGTAGCGTACCTTAGGAGGCATGATTTGGAATTCTCACCACATCAATTGTAGGCTAACTGTATGTATGAGTACTCCGCAACGACCCATCTTCGATCAACAAGTAGAGTACCTGTAGCTGTACTGATCTACCGAACTCTTAAAATCCCCCCCGCTTCTTAGTAATAACGTAATCGGTAAGCGAGCGGAACGCGCAAGCGAGTGGAACGCCCAACTCGTGACTTCCGCATTCCACCAAAACATGAGGCTTTTGATCAACGAAATCAACCACCAAAATGGCTATATCGTCAAAAGAACGTAAGGAACAAGAAGGCAGGATCCTCTTAGCCATTGAGGCTTTAAAGAATGATCAAATTCCGTCATTGCGAGAAGCAGCGCGCGTTTTCAACGTTCCGCAAACCACCCTCTGGAACCGCGTTAAAGGAGTCAAATCACGAAGCGATATACGTGTCGTTTCGTGTAAATTGACTCTTGCAGAGGAGGAGACGTTGGAACAGTGGATTCTCTCCTTGGATAAGCGAGGGCTTCCCCCCAGGCCTTCCCATGTTCGTGAAATGGCGTCTATATTGATCCGGAAACGAGGAGCCTCGCCGGAGGCATCGGATGAGGCTTTAGTAGGGCAAAAATGGGTATACAACTTTATTAAACGCCATGACTCTTTAAAGACATGTTTCTCTCGCCGAT